ATCTGCAGGTTACCATAATATGAATCTCTGATTATAATCCTTTTGCTTGTTCCTGAATAAATTCTTTACCGTTGGGAGATAATTTTTCTCTGCTGTTTCTTTTCTTTTTTTTTTTTTTTTTTTTTTTTTTTTTTTTTTTTTTGGGTACAGGGGAATAGAACTCAGGACCTTGCGTTTGCCAGGCACTTATGGCACTGAACTATGTTCCCGACCCTCTTTTCGGCTTTGATATGACCGAATACTTGTAGGAATGATCACAACACGTGCACACTAGATTGCTTTGGTTACTAAAGGCTTGCATGATTGCATTTGAGGCTCTCCACAGCCTCAGGCACTACCAGAATCGGAGCGATCTTCTGCCAGTTCACAGAGGAGAAGACGAGTTTCAAAGGGGCGATCAAGCTGCAAAACCAGGCTCTATAGCTTATTGCCTGGGTTCCGGTTCTGCTCCAAGAGATGTTTGATCAAAAAAATTAATCTCCACTGTTTCCATGCCTGTAAAACAGAACTAGCATCTGCTTCGCAGGATTACCATGATGATTAAAGGGACATGGCATACAGTGCCTAACATATAATAAGCACGCAATGCCTGCCATATGTCAGCTTTTCTGTCAGATCAGCATCCTTTCCTCTCACACCCCCGCGTATCCCACGTGCCTCACGTAAATAAGCGAGCGCGCAGGCGCCCCGGGTCGTTGCCAATTGGCCGCCCGGCCTGGGCTCTAGCGCCCCAGTCAGTTGGTCTCCTTGTCTGTGGGTCGGTGCATCTGGCCGCCGGCTTTGCGCCCGCGATGGCGCCCTGGTTGCGGTTCTTGTGGTTGCTGGGACTGCTCCCGGGCGCGGCCCCTGCCCCTGCATCCCCGGAGTTTCGGGCCGCCGGCGTGGTGGGCTGGGAGCCGCCAACCCGGGAGCTGTTGGGGCCCGCTCGCTTCGCGCTGGACGCGTACAACCGCGGCCGGGCTGCGGGGACGCGGGCTGTGCTGGGGACAGTGCGCGGGCGAGTCCGCCGGGTGAGGACGTAAGGGCCCCGGCGCCGGGCCTCGACCGGGGGATGGGGAGAACTCTGGCATGGACTTGGGGCGGGGGCCTGGATAATCGAGAGAACAACTGGGAACGGGCAGAGGGCACGGGTGGAGCATGGGCACAAAGGAGGGAGAGGGTTGGCTGTGCCCGCCTTACTCACTCCTCCGTTCAGGCTGGCCAGGGCTCGCTGTATTCCCTGGAGGCCACCCTGGAGGAGCTGTCCTGCAAAGACCCCATGGTGTGCCAGCTCCCTGTGTCCAAGAAAACCTTGGTGAGTGATTTCCACCCCTGCCCTGCCTACCCCACGCCCAAACAGCAAGGCAGTGACTTCACTCTGAACTTCTGTCCAGATACCAAGAAATGTTGGGGTGATTGCTGGCTATGCCTTTCTCTCCACTGTGGAGCTATTTATTGCTTTAGGGGTGTACGGCCTCTGAGGAGCTTTTTTTTTTTTTTTTTTTTTTTTTTTTGCCAGCTCCGCCCAACCTGGGGGAGGCGCTGGTGCGGCATGTGGTGCTGGGGATCAAACCGTGGTCCCCTGAGCCTGCCTAAACTTGCCTAAGCAGGCATTTTAGACCGCTGAGCGCTGAGCTATCTCACCAGCCCCTCTGAGGAGCTTTTTATATGCTTTTGCCTTGACCTTGTTCCCGTCAAGGTCCTGATACTGGCTTATCCTCTTTCTGCAGCTCTGCAGCTTTGAAGTTTTGGAGGAGCTGGGAAAACACATGCTGCTGAGGCAGGACTGTGGCCCTGTGGATATCAAGGTTACAGGTGCTGGAGGCTGGGATAGTCTAGATCATTGATAGCAAAACTTTTAGAACTTTAAGTGCTAGTAAACAGTGCGCTGTGGCACATGTGCCATTCATTTACCGCTACTGGCCTAGATCATACTTCACTCTGGGTGCAGCTTTGATTTTCTGTCTGTTCCAATTCTATCTAGACGTCAGAAATGAGACTTTCAATTCAGTCCTTCCACTGTCAAGCAGAGAGCCCTTTCCCAAGGTGAGGAGCCCATGTCTAGGGAGCTAGCTGCTGCCTTATTCCCCATCTTGTCCCTTCACCCTGGAGGAGGGCTCTTGGGTCAGGCTGAACTCCTTACAAAGACCCTCCTGCCTTTCCAGGAGTTTTCTGTGAAGATAGCTTCAGCCTTCAAGAACTTTGTTACCACCTATAACCGAACTTATGAGTCGAAGGAAGGTGAGGACTCAGCTCTGGCTGTACCTATCCCCCGTCAGATTAGGGTCTTACCCCAACTAGGGTGGGAGGGCAAGGACACAAATGCAGTACATACTTTCAAGGACCCGTATTCTCCAAGTTCTTTTTCAGCCCTCCATGACTGGGTAGCCATCCCAGGTATCTGCTCCTGTTATCTTCCCAATTAGGAATGGTAGCTCTCCATTCTTTTCAGGAGGGTAGGATGGAACACAGGCTAGATTTTTCTCTGGGGAAGGCCCCCTGCACTATTCAGTTACTGTTTTCATACCTGGGAAATCATTGCTCCAGTGGGCCCCTAAAGCTGATCGCAGCTCCCATTCTGTCTAGCAGGTCTGCTCCTGAAGTCTCACCTTCCTCAGGGTTCTATCCTGAAAGACGGCTTAAGGGAAAGCCCAGAATCCACCTAGTCCCCTGGGAAACCTCTGCCTCTTAGCTCCACTCAGCACCACCCTTATGATCTGGGTGGTGTCTGAGCTTCTCCTCTCCTGCTCTTTGGTCCTCAGAAGCCCAGTGGCGCCTGGCTGTCTTTACCAGAAACATGGTGCTAGCACAGAAGATTCAGGCCCTCGACCGTGGCACAGCTCAGTATGGGGTCACCAAGTTCAGTGACCTCACAGGTAGGCTTGGAGCCTGGGAAAACAAGGTTTGCTCCCAAGGCCTCTGGTCAAGGTTGACCTGCAGCACTCCTCTGTCTATGCTCTGCCCCTAGAGGAAGAGTTCCGCACCATCTACCTGAACCCCCTCCTACAAGAGCAGTCTGGCAAGAAGATGCGCCTAGCCAAGGCTGTGGGTGACCCTGCCCCACCTGAATGGGACTGGAGGAGGAAGGGGGCTGTCACCAAAGTCAAGAACCAGGTTGGAGTCCTGGAAGTGAGGGTGGCCATGCACACTACACTAGGCTAGGGGAGGGGTCCTGCCCAGATGCTATACATCTCTTGCAGGGGATGTGTGGATCCTGTTGGGCCTTCTCTGTCACAGGCAATGTGGAGGGCCAGTGGTTTCTGAACCGGGGCACCCTGCTTTCCCTCTCAGAGCAAGGTAAGCATCCTGTTCCACCTTCCCTGTCTTCAGTCCAGCCCCTCCAGAAGGCTCTTCAGAACCTGCCTTTTCTCTCCTAGAGCTCTTGGACTGTGATAAAGTGGACAAGGCCTGCATGGGTGGCTTGCCCTCCAGCGCCTACTCAGCCATCAAGAATTTAGGTAGGCTTTAATGGGGTCAGGAGGAAGAGCAGGTGCCTCTTGTCTCTCTTGCCAATTTACAAGGGGAGAGATCAGAGCGTGGAACTGGATTTAAGTCTTACTGCTGACGTTCTGGGTATCATGGTGCTATGCCAGCTGTCTGGGAGGCTGAAGTGGGATTGCTGTAGTTCAAGGCCAGCCTGAACTGCATAGCGAAGCAGACAGTTCTCAAAAAGACAACAAAAAAAGTAAATTCTGTGTCGATAAAAGGAACTCAGCCAGCATTAGCAACATAGCACACCCCTGAGAGCAGATATGGCTCTAAATTGGTAGTTCAGTTCATTGGTAGGCTGTGGTGTCAGGATAAAGGGCTGGACTGGGAAAGGACTGTCAACAAGACAAACATGCCAATGTCCACAATCCAGGAAGGCTAGAATGAACCCTCATCAGGGCAGAAGTTGGGAGTTGACTCCTGTCCCTGCCACTGCTTCTGTGGGTCACTGGCTGTTCCCTCCCCCACCTATCTCCTCACTGTGTCTTCTCTGGAATCTAGAGGTTCCTCAGAGGGGAGGACCTGTGGCCTGGGGTGGATGATGCTTGTAAGACCTTGTATATCAGGGAAGAAAGTCAGTGAAGAATAAACAGGACTCCACTCACCCTCTATATTGTCCCCTCCCCACCCGCTGCCATTGCTCCCCAGGAGGACTGGAGACAGAGGATGACTATAGCTACCAGGGCCACATGGAGGCCTGCAGCTTCTCAGCAAAGAAGGCCAAGGTCTACATCAATGACTCAGTGGAGCTAAGCAAGAATGAACAGAGTGAGTGAGGGGCAGGAAGAGGCCAGGAGGGGTGAAGCTGGCTCAGGTGCCCACTGATGTGGTCCTTCCCCCTCAGAGTTGGCAGCATGGGTGGCTGTGAAGGGCCCCATCTCCATCGCCATCAATGCCTTTGGCATGCAGGTGAGGTCCTGCCCCCACCCCATGTCTTGCTCATCTTTCCCTAGATCCCCCTTGGAACTGGTTCTCTACTCTTTATTCTCTCCCTAGTTCTACCGCCATGGAATCGCCCACCCACTCCGACCCCTCTGTAGCCCTTGGTTCATCGACCATGCCATGCTGGTTGTGGGCTATGGCAACCGTGAGTTCTGCTGACAGTCTGTCCATCTACCCTAACCACAGGCAGGGGTCAGACAGCAGCATCTCAGGACCTCTGAGAGGGAGAGCAAGTGAACTCCTAGGAACCCTCAGCCTTGGGGAGTCATGCAGCTCCTCTGTGGCTAGGAAAGCTGGGGATAAGGGAGGATGGAACAGTTATGCTGCTGGTTGTGATAGGTTCCCTCCTGGTGCCCCAAAGCTGCTCCAGACCTCTGTGAGGGTAGAAGGCATCCCACTTTTGCTTTCTACTCTTTCCTAGTACTTGTCACACAGTAGGTCTACTGTAGGTATGCAAAAGATACAAAGCACTTGAGGCTCTGACTAGAGAATTGGGGGCCCCTAACCTCTTGCTTCTTATACTGTTTCCCAGGCTCTGACATTCCTTTCTGGGCCATCAAGAACAGCTGGGGCACTGACTGGGGTGAGGAGGTAAGTCTTGCCCTCCTGCCCCCCTGCTTCTCTACCCTCACCATACCTGAAGCCTCTCATCAATTCCCTCTCCCTCAGGGTTACTACTACCTGCATCGTGGGTCCGGGTCCTGTGGTGTAAACGTCATGGCCAGCTCAGCGGTAGTAGACTGAGGAGTCAGTGGCACAGGACCTGGTGCTGACCAGAGCAGCTCCTTACCAGCCTGACCCATGTCCAGGTCTTCCCCAGGAGGCACCACTGACTGACTTGAAGGGTGGGTGCTGAGCACCTTAGGGTGAACAGGGGGCCCTGGGACCTACTTTTGTCTAACCTCCTGCTGGAAGCCCTGCAGCTACACCTTTGTTGAATTGTGGTATGGCAGTTAGGACCCTGGGGTGAAGAATGTTTTTGGAGTAGCCAAAGCTGAGGCAGGTAAGAAGCTGGGCTTAGATAAGGAGCAAGATGAAAATATTTCCAATATAAAACCCAGCTTTATCCTTAGAATGCTCTGGCTTCCTACCCTGGCTTTATGCTGATGCTGTAACTATCCTGGTCCCCTACATTGGGTATGCTGTCCTTTTCCACATCCACGAAACCTGTAGCTAGCCCCCGTTCTCTAACAGCAATAAAGAAGTATTCAAGTTTCCGGTATGTACAGTGTGAATGCTCAGTGCCTGAGACCAAGGAGGTGTGGTGGGGACCCTGGTGAGTCAGTGAGATAGCTGGTCCTGCTCAGGAGTGTGAGGGCCCAGGTTTTACTTTAGGAACCACCATGAGATAGGATAGGGCCAAGGATGAATCTTTATTCAAGAACACTTGGCTGGCCAGTCCCTGAGGCCCTTGCTCCAGCAGACAGATAGATCAGCTACAGGGAACACCCTGTCTCGTCTTCTATCAAGAATTGCACAGGTAGAGGTCAGAGGTCACTCTCTCCATAAAGGGCACTGGAGAAGGCCACGTAGTCCAGGGCTCCAGCTGGAGCCCCAGATCCCTTGTATGGTGCCATCCGGCGGATGCAGTATTCAGCCTGTTCAGCTGGGAGCTCCCGCCTCAGCTCCTCAGGGGTGATGTAGTTCTGGGGGAGAGGAGGTATTGAGGCCCGCTGTCCCATGCTCTACAATAGACCCTCAGTCCCCCCACTGCCACCCTACTTCCGCTGCCAGGGGACTTACCTTGTCTCCTGCAAGGATCTTGAAGGATGCCATGACTTGCTCAGCTGTGTCTGTCTCAGCTGTCTCTCGGGTCATGAAGTCAATGAAGGCCTGGAAGGTCACCACCCCAGTTGCATTGGGGTCCACCATGGTCATAATGCGAGCAAACTCCACTTCTCCCTGTAGAAATAAAGGGCTAGGAGCCATGCCCAGGGGTGCTAAAACCAGGAGGGCTCCCAAAGTCCCCTCTTGGGGACTGTCCAGTCTTTGGTTCACAAGCCAGGGACAAGTTGTACCCTTTCTCCAAAGACTCAATCAGCCTGGCTTTAGGAATTCTTTTATTCTAGACCAAAACTTGCTTTGTGACCATGGCAACCCTGCCTTTTGCTCATTGGTCCTGATTTTTTCCGGAGGCCATATCCCGTGTAGTGCTGTTTCTCTATGGTAAAAACACTGCAGGCTCAGACGTTGGGACATTGGGGTCATCCAGACAAAGGTCAAAGTTAATTTAATTTTGAGTCTTTGCCAGTCCCTATGGGGTGTGATGAGGAATAGAGATGATGACATGTGTAAGTATACAGTAGGTGACTAATATGTAGAGGGTATCGGTGGCACTCCTGGGAAAGGACTTGGGTACTCACCAGGTCATAGCCCATGGAGATGAGGCAGGCTCGGAAGTCATCAGGCTCCATCATCCCATTCCGCTTCTGCAGGGAGTGGGTGTATGTCAGGCTTAATTCCTAAACTCCACCAGCTCCCCAGTCTCTTACCCCATTTGCCGTCCCCTGCTGACCCGGTCAAAGTGGTTGAAAGATGCCCGGAACTCATTGAGCTGCTCCTGGCTCAGGCCCTTGGCATCTCGGGTCAGTACCTGGTTCTCCACCTCATTGATGGTGCGGGCGATGGAGGTGAGCAGCTGCTCCCAGCCCACACGGATGTGCTAGAGAGTAGGAGATGGGCCAGTCAGTGGGCTGCTGGTGCTTGGCCACTATTGTAGCTCCACTGTCAACCCTTTATGTGACACTAGGCAAATCCTTGCCCTCTCTGGGCCTCTGTCCCCACTACCAAGTGATCCCTTTAGTATCCCTTCATGCTTTAAAGTTTGATGATTTATTACGTATTCGATATTGATCAGCCAGCTATAACCAGTCCCAGCCTGGCTTTAATCTGCTTTGTGACCCTGAACTGGACACTGTCCATTGCTGGGTCTCAGCATCCTCTTGGGATATGCTGCCAAGCTAAACTGGGTCCTCCTGAAACAGTCATGCTCCATCCAACTGAGGTCATGCCTATTTTCCCCAGGCTGTACAGCCTTCCACTCTCCCCAGGGACTAGGACCCACCTCCATGCTGTAGACGGTGTGCTTGTTATCAAAGACCAGGCTCTCCTGCAGCAGCTGGTGGTCACCCTCCAGCCGGTCAATGTTGCTTTTGTAATTGATAATGTTCTGCTCCTGCTGCCGTAGTCCTGCCATCTGCTCCTCCAGAGAACCAGCCAGCCCTGCTGCCAGCCGCCCTACCTCCTATAGGGATAACCAGACAAAATGAGGGCTCCCAGCTCCCTGGGCCCTGCCCCACCCCCAAGCCCAGGTTGGCCCCTCTCTCCAAGCCCTTACCTCCACCTTTGCCTGGATCCAGGGTCCCACAGCATTGGCCTGGGCGGCAAACTGTCGCCGGAGCCTCTCGTTCACCTGTTGCCGTGATAGCTCCTCCTGCAGCGTCTGGTCACGGCTGGGCACCAACTTTCGGACCTGGGAAGAAGCATGGCTAGTCAGATCCATTTCTGAGGGCCAGGAAATAGCTTTGAGAAGAGATGGGTCTTGACCCCTCAAATCTCAGCCCCTGTTGCTGTGACCAAACTGGTCCTTGTGAGCAAGCTCTGAGACACATCACTTAGGCTCAGTTTATGGTTTATGTGCAAAATGGGCCTGTGACATCATCTATAACTGACCCAGGTGTTTTTTTTTTTTTTTTTTTTTTTCGGAACCGGGGATTGAACTTAGGCCCTTGTGCTTGCCAGGCAAGCACTTACTCTACTGAGCCATCTCCCCAGCCCCAAACAGTTGGTTTCATGAATGATAACCACATAAAATTTAATCCCACATAGCAAGTCTTTTTTTTTTTTTTTTTTTGTGCAGGGTCTCACTACGCAGCTTGGGCACGTAGTGATCCTCCTGTTTTCAACCTCCCCAGTTCTGGGATTATAGGCATGTGCCACCATGCCCAGACTCAGTCACAGGCTCAGTGCACCCAGGGATGGGGCTGGCAAGGCATATGGTGCCAGATATCGAACCCCGGTCACTGTGCTTGCCTAAGCAGGCACTTAGTCTGCTGAGCTATCCCACCGTCCCACCGGCCCTCACGTATCAGTCTTTTTTTTTTTTGGAACCGGGGATTGAACTCAGGCCCTTGTGCTTGCCAGGGAAGCACATATTCCACTGAGCCATCTCCCCAGCCCCTTAGTTTTTTTTTTTTTTTTTTTTTTTTTTTTTTTTTTTGGTGGAAGGAGGAATTGAACTCAGGCCCTTGTGCTTATTCTACTGAGCCATCTCCCTAGCCCAAACATTAGTCTTGATGGGAGATTTTCCATTAAATAGATGAGGCCATGATAGACAAGGTGGTTTATCCAGTGTCATGTGGAGGCAGTGGCAGACCTCAGGTCTGGAGATAGACTCTATTCCCCATATCTTGGGACACCCAATTTTTAGTGTGTTTTAAGAGTATACATAAGAGGGTTGGATCAGGGCAAGTGTGCTGGAGGTACTGACCGTGTCCCACTTGGTGTTGATGTCCTGTGGGCTAAGGGTGATATAGGGGTTGGTGGATAAGGGCCGCAGCCCATATGTTTGGCAGATCTTCTGGATCTCACCCTGGATGCCCAGGATGGCACCTCGCTCTCGGTCAGCCTCAGGCAGTGTTGCCTTGAACTGCTCATGCGCTGTCAGCAGGCTCTGGGGGTGACAAGCAGGAAGGATCAGTTCGCACACATAACAGGAAGAGCAGCAATCCTGTCAGGCCTTGTCCTGCCTCCCAGCCTAGCACTCCAGAAATGGGTTTTTCTCACAGGAGCCCAAAGGAATAGCTGACAGGATCTGAGGCAAAATTTTTCTCCCCCTCTATTGGGAATTGGACCCATTGCCTTTGCACTAAGATGTATCCCAGTCCTTTTTAATTTTTATTATTTATTTATTTATATATTTTTGTATTTGGTATAGGGCCTCACTACGCAGCTCAGATTCATAGTGATCCTCCTGTTTTCAGCCTCTCTAGTGCTGGGATTACTGGGATTACAGGCGTGTATCCCAACGCCCGGTTTCAGTGGCCAGCTCAGTGCACCCAGGGGTGGGGCCAGCATGGCATGAGGTGCAGGTGATCTAACCCCAGTTCCTGAGCTAGCCTAAGCTGGTGCTTAGTCTGCTGACCTATCTCACTGGCCCTTTATTTTTATTTAATAGAAATTTATTTCCTTTTGAGACAGTCTTGCTATGTAGTTGAGGCCTTGAACTCACTATGTAGTCCAGGCTGGCCTCAAAACTCTCAGCGATTCAGCTGCGACATCCTCCTGAGTGATTTTTTTTCTTTTAGACAGGGACTCTAAATTCAGTTGGTCTTGAATTTGTGATGCTCAGCTTCCCAAGAGTGCTGGGATTATAGGCAATGGCCACTGTATCAGGTTTTAGGGCCAGCTTTCCTGTCATCCTACACAGTGTCCTCAGGACTGCCTCCAGAATCCCTGCACCCACCTGGGTCTCCTCCACTGAGTGCACCAGCCACACATCCTGTAGGTCCTCCACTGCTCCATCCAGCCAGTTGTTGAAGGGTGCCGCCCGCCGTGCAAACTCCAGCTGCAGCTGATCAATGGTTTCCAGGAGTTTCTCCATCCGCTAGGGGACAAGAGGACATTGGGTCAGCACCTCCTCAGCAGGCATAGCCTTGTTCTCTGGACCCCAGCTACCTGGCCCCAGACTCTACCTCTAGCGCATCCCGCCTCTTCTGGGTCAGTGTACCCAAGTTGTCCCACTGGTCACAGATGGCCTGGCAACGGCTGTTCACTGAAGCCGCCTCATGGTAGTCCAGTTCACTGGGGATGACAAGAGGCCTGAGTATGGGGCTAGGCCTGGTCTTGATTGCCCTCCTGGGTCTCAAACCAGTGCACATGGTGGTGGCAAAGCCACAGGTGGGGGGCCAGGGAGATGGCTCAGTGGAATAAGCGCTTCCCTGGCAAGCGCAAGGGCCTGAGTTCAATCCCCGGTTCCACCAAAAATAAAAAAATAAAAAATAATAATAATAAAAAAGCCACAGGTGGCCAAGGCAGGTGAGGGAAGAACAGGAAAACCCTGGGTAGGCATCCCATTTTCTCAGCTCTAGTCCTTGGTGGTGCTTGGCTGGAAGGGGGACCTGAGGTATCAGGCAGGATTGTATGAGGAGTGGGTTTGCAGGATGTGGTGGCAAATCTGAGGTTGAGGATGAGGTTTAGGGTAGTAGGCTGGGACCCAAGGTA